ACTCTTACTTTATGTAATAAGACTGAATTATATACTTTTACACGGTTTTGAACGGTTTATCTTCATTTTATAACTTAAATAAAGCTTACATAATTCATTGTCGCCTCTCTTTTTCAAATTTTCTGTTCTAAGAAGAATTTGTAAAATATTAATACAATAAGAAGTAAATTGCGTTGAGTAACAAATTCAATTTGTCCGTTTATTAAAATTCAAGATAAAATTGATTTTTGATTTGTTAACATCACATTAATTCCATTCTTCTTAAAGTGTAAAAAATTTGACATAAAAATGATAGTAGATTAATTACAAACGTATTTTGAATAAATGGAAGGAACAATTATTACCGTTTAATTATGATTCCCTATCATTAGATAAGCTTTTAATTTTTCATTCTATGTAAGAGAAAGATAGGGGAGGAAAGAGAAAGGAAGAGAAAGGGTGAGTGAATTAATCGTGAATCAGTCAGTATTTATATTTCAACGCTTTCAGCGGATAATTTGATAAGTAATTAGCAATCACTTATCGATTCTATATAATTTTGTTATTTGTAATATAGTTCAATGAATACTCTGGAATATCTCTACTATTATATCATCAATACTTATTTAGTCATATTTATTTCACTAATTACTTCGTTGCTTGCAATTATCTAAATAATAAATAACAATATCTGAAAAATAATATTGGATAATAAAGTTAGAGAGATACAGTTTCACTATAACAGCCCGCAGTCATTTTTCGTGTTCGCTTATTGTATTTGATACAGGAGGAAATGATCGATCGTTTGCAGGCGATAAGATGAAGTTTGTGGTATTCACGATCAATCGCCACCCGCGACAGTGACAAGCTTATCGGTCAAAGACGAAAAATCGCTGCAATATGTTATAAGCATAAACACACACGAAGTCAAAATTGATTTTCGATAGTTCGTATCTCCAGAATGCAACTTTTCTCATGTCTCGTTAAAAACGTACATGAATAATTTGTTCTCTTGAAAAAATTATCGACACTGAATGCCGATCTTATATTTCAAGATTTAATTTTGAATTCGATAGCTCGGCTTATGTTAAATGGAATAATGCTTTCCGTGGAATGTAAAAGATTGACGTGAGGAGTAAAAGTAACATAAAAGTAAAAACTAAAATGAAACGTAGCCTGGGCAAAATATATAAGTGCACATTCGCAAGATGTCCAATTAATTCCAGCCCCGAATCATCGTAGATAGCTATCTCCGCAAAGTCGTCGGCGGAGCAAATCGTCAAGATGCCGATCTAGCAAAAGTTATTAGCAAGATTACCGAAATTCGCGTTCGCAGAAATGCCGAGGTAGGTCCCGAGGAATCGACCTAACTGGTTTACCTCTGATAAAACTCTTGTGAAGTTAAGAATTACACTTAGCGGTAAAATCAATGGAACAATCGAGTTCGCGGAATCTACGGCACTGGAGGAAGGTAAAGCAGAATTAGCGCAACATATATAGAGGAACAATCTGGATACGTGCCGAAGGTGGCAATGGCGGAGGAAACGTCTGTGCCGATGTTATCGTTCCGTGCCGATGAAAAAGAACCTGGATGAATTCGCGCGAGACGAGCTTGCCGGATTAGACATTAAAGTTGATAACGGAGTCGATGTAATCAAAATTATCGAGCCCGCGGAGATGGAGGATGTTGAGATTCTATCATCCCCGGAATTAGCGGATTCCAGGGGAGGGATCTGGAGCCGGGAACAAGAAGAAATCGACTTATCCGATTTACCACGGGCGGGCGTCGCCAGATTGAGAGTCAGAATCAGGGATAGAATCAATATAAGAATCAGATCCACGGACTCGGCCGTGCTGGAGGGAGTACAATTAGCGCAAGACAGCGGGATCGATTTGGATTCGTGGCGGCAGAAGGTTGGGAGGGGGAGGGGAAGGAAGTATTCACAATGGCGGTACCATCAGATTCAGCGCGCGAGAGCAGTAGAAATAAAAGATGTTGGAGTTTTACCAGCCGCGAAATTAAATCCGGAGGAGAGAGAGATCCGAGCGGTGGAACGAGGACGCAACGTTCATGTTAGTTAGATTGCACGATTAGATTCGGCGAGCAACGGATAGAGGAACTCGCGCAGTGAAAATTCGACGAAGTTGAATTTATTGTGTTACCCGGCGCGAAATTTACCTAATCAGTACGCAGTAAAACCAAAAGTAACAGTGAAATTCGTAATGATTGCGTTCAATAGTTAAAGGAAAACGAGGGACAAATTTGTGTTTCAACGGCACATAAAACGCAGCAGAATTAGAGCACATTTTCAGTTAAATAAACGGATATTTTAGAACAGCCAAGTTCGAAATGGACACAAATTTCTTCTTCGAACTTCATTAATTGTGCAATGTTCTCTACTAAAAAAAAAAAAACGAAGCCGTTATCATTTGTTAATTGCGAGTATTCTTTGTGTAACGTGATAAATCGGGAATAAACGTGTTACAAGTGATATAATTTTTTTTCTGCGATTCTTTCTCGCGCGTTTTCTAATTTGGGCAATTAACGATCGTTATACTTTTGCGGGTTTTTTCCTCACGTAATTTTCCACCGATTATTTTAATCTGAGCAAATCGTACTCTTAAAAATAACACTTTCGACAGACAAATCGAAATGTAATGCGTTATGAAAGCTGTGCTCTTTTTTCTCTCTAAAAAAAGGAAATAATTGATATGAATAATAGGAGAAAACTTTGGTCACGAGTGTACCGAAATAAGCATTCCGAAGTCTGAGCGTGGACAGACTGTAATAATGGAATTCCGCGAACAATCAATCGGAAAGCAATTAACGGAGGCGATCGTCGGCGAACTTCCCACCAAATTTCCTGTCGCGCTCGCCCGTGAGAAAAACGTCTATTGGGTAAACGGAACCGCGCAATTCTGTTGCATCGAGTGATGCACTCCGTGGGTCAAGCCCGACGGCGTCGCCATATGGCGCGACCAAAACGTGTGAGCGCAATTAAAACGCATAAATTATTTTAACGTTTCGCACACTTTCAAATATAATTATTTTCTTTCTTCGTTTGGCGCGAAAATGGGCGCAAATGTAGCAGAGCGGACAACAAGAAATGTTAACCACGCTTTCCGTATCCTGAGAAAGTGCAAGAAAAAAAAAAACGAACAATCCCCGTATCTGTTTGTTGAAATGAAAAATGATCGTTACCTACGCGCAATTTATTTCGCTTGAATCGTACGCATCGATTATGCGTGTCACATTTATGAAAACGTGACGGCTGGTACGAAACACTTCTGCCGTGACACACAGAAAAATCCTTACGTAAGATTAAACTAACGATAAATCATAGCTGTCCCCAAAATTCTTTGTGATTTATGGATAATTTTACCGTATTTTTCTTTCACAATGCCCTCTCTCCGTATTTCATAAGCCCGACGCGAAATGTATTCCGCGCAATTCCACGCGAAATGAGATATTACCTTTAATACGGGCATGGCACTGTAAACAGCTTGAACTTGAGATTGTCGAGATAAATTTGCAACCAGTGCGCGAGCTTTTTACCACGTAATTTTTCGATGACGCGATAAATAAATTTTACACGTCCCACGAATTACGTTATAGCTGCTACAGATATCGGGGAATAATAGAATAGAAACTCTCGATAAAAATTATGACGGCTATTTCATATTTCCTGCATGATTGCGGAATAATAATAACGCACGGAAAGACCGGCTAAGGCAAAAATAACTAAAATTGAAATGTTGCCGTATAAATAGTAGAGGGATCTACATTGTTTTGAGTTGCAACATTCATTAAGTTTGCTGCACAAAACGCATATAGTCTCCTCTATTTACCATACCAGTGTAGGTATGACAGCTACAGATATAGCTGTCCCAAATATTACTATTTATTGGGATTGTGCCAACCCTAATTAAACATGTGGTAACCATATCGGTCTCTCCGCGCGTTCTCTTTTTCCTTAAATTGAAATTTGCTTACACTGTTCTTGCTTTCTAATGACAATCCTGAATTATGATGTAGAAGGCGAGAAATTATAAATTTCTTGTGTTATAGTATACTTAAAGTTACATTAGTTTTTCGCGAGTCATCACGCACACGTCCGACAAAACAGGTTACGAATTAGAAAATATATCAAAGATTCTTTTCGATTCGCTGATTAACTATTACAAATCCTGATTGATCTCATGAGAGAGTCAACTTGAAAATGTTGGACATGTACGGACTGAATTATACTGTATTTATTAATGCAGAATAATATAAAGGAAATATGTTTTCAAACTGATTCAGTTATTTATTTTATTTATTTTAAATAGCTGTAAAAAATTTCATCTCGTTTCTTGCTTTCTACAATTTTATATGACTGCACTTGGAAAACAAAACTGAAAATATACTTTAAGCTTAATTAGAGCGCAATGTGGTTCCATAATGATAAAAAAAAGACGAAAATCAAAGTGAAAAAGAAAAATATTGTCGGAAATTTGAATCCACCAAATGTTACGAGAAGTAAATCGAGATTATTTCGGAACAAATTATCGAAAAGAGGAACTTCGATCGAAAACAGATTATTTTACAGAAAAGAGAGCCACTGCTACAACACCTTGAAGTATTGTCGTGTTCCATAGAGAGAGGATAATCGTAAACTAAAAAAAAAACTATGAAAAAACTCTCGAAACATATTTCTGAAAACTTTCGAACTTTCAATGGATTTCCAACCTAGTAAAACTGCAATGGTGTTATCAAAAAAATATTACCCCAGCAATTCAGAGATAATAACAGTCCGCGTTTGAAGGATACTTCTGGAACGAAACTCTCCGGGAATCAAGCGAGAGATTCAACAGTAGCGGCAGACGGGAGCGGCGCGCTTCGGAAACAATACGGGCGTCGCATCAAAAAGTTTCGCGCGGCGCACGGCGCAACGCAAAATTTTATTAGGGAAATCAAAGATGTCGCCCGCCATGAATGCGAATTGCAAAGCGGGATAAGGATTGAATCGAGTCGCACTCACCGGCGCAGCTGTATCCATTTTTATGAAGTATGTAGCCGTCCCTGCAGTCGCACTCGTACATGCCGTCGTGGAGTTCGTAACAGAGCTGCTCGCAGGGCGATCCGTGCCCGCATCTTCCTGAAACACGGCAGGGAAACGGGGACGTGAGTAAGTTATGCGTGCCGGGGGAATTCGAGGTGGCGCGAAGTGGCGAACAAAGGGAGAAACATCGGGATAGATGGGCGGCGATGAGTTGCGAACGCAACTGTTCGCGCGTTCCCCGTTTCCACCCCTAATAGCGTATTTACACAACACTATCCTGGAACGCACACCCTAAGATCGATCCGTGTAAAAATTCTAGACACAATTTGCGCTTTCGTTTCTATCTACCCTTAGAATTTCTGTATACGCGGAAAGACCGGCTAGGGCAAAAATAACTAAAATTAAAATGTTGCCGTATAAATAGTAGAGGCATCTACATTGTTTTGCATTGCAACATTCACTAAGTTTGCTGCACAAAATGCATATAGTTGTCTCCACTACTTATCATACCAATGTGGGTATGACAGCCACAGATATAGCTGTCCCAAATATTACTATTTATTGGGGTTGTGCCAACCCTAATTAGACATGTGGTAACCATATCGGTCTCTCCGTGTAAAAATCTATATATATATATATATCTATATACGCTGAAAAAAATTTTACTATGATACCGTGGCTAATCGTAATTTGTTGAAAATATTTTGCTGCATTTTACAGCAAACAGTTTGCCGTCACACCTAATACAATAGGCGCAGTAGCAATGTATTAGCTGTCATAACTAAATATTAGTTGTCCATATTTTACAACTGAAATTTAGTTACCACACGCAGTTTTTGGCTGCGGTAGCTACATTTTTTTCCGTGTACGTACATCATGTACAGATGTGAATGACAGTAATGAAAATTTAGAGATGTATCTATATACATAATTGAATATAGCTATAATCGGTTCTCTCTTTGCAAAAATAGCTTTGAGTATACCAGACTGTGAGCTCGTTCTTATCGGTTACCTAATTTGCAGATCTAAAGCGCCTCGATTTGCGATGCAAATTTGCACTAGCATTTCCGTTTTAAATTTTCACGAGAATAGAAACATGATTTTTATCGCATTAAGTTGACTCTGAGACAAGGTGATTATTGTGGATTGATATATGGCTCGTAGGCAATCGCGGTCGAATCAAATATGCAACGATCAAGACGATGTTGGGTTTCTTCAGCAATTTTTCAACAGAAATCTTCTCGTACTCTTCATTTCTCTCGCACGAAATATCGCAATCACTCATTTTCACGAATCTCTCGCGTACAAATGAAAATTCTTTAGAAGAGAGAGGAAAAATACAATACGTCAATTATTTGCTGCTTGCCTCTTGGTATTTCACAAATTGTACGGCTCTGCGCCATGTGACAGTTTACTGTTCTATTTAAGTACATTTTTTTATCAACTCATCGCATTAATACCGAGGCGTAAAAAGTAGTTGTATAAAATTCCCTACGAGAAAAGAGACACCGCGACGAAACAGGCAACTAAATGTCACCGAGCCAACCGCAGCGTAGAACTATTTTCTCGCGAATTTACTTTGTTATTTAATCTAATGTCGCGACAACAAATACAAACAATATAGCGTAATGTAAAATCACAAACGTACAAAATATACTACTCAGAATAACGGTATAATTAATTTTTCATTACGCTGGGTAACACAAATTTCGAAATAATCGAGGAGTAAACCGCTGAGGACATCGTGGTGTACAGATTTGCGGCATTACTGGGCATTACTAGGCATCACTAGGCATTTTTTGGGCATTAGTTTAAGCACTATAATGCCCTTACTGGGGTATTATAAAGATAAAATAAGACGAAATAACATAGAACAAGATAAATAACATAAAGTGCCCACTGGACATTAGTGGGCGTTGGTGTACAAGATTTTGTCAACGTGTCAACGGTTTCCCCCTCAGAAATAATATTAAATAGACGTGACTTATAATACAATTAAAGTGTCAACGACAACAACGAATCTCAATAACTTAGTACAACGAGTATCTATCACAAAATTTAATGTTTTGCAACTAATATTTTCAAATATTTCATTTTGTAACATTTTAATACTTTTTATGTAATTTTTCTCTCTCTTTCTCTCCCATTTCGTTTATTTTAATGTATTCATAAATATACGAGCAGTTGTTAAGCCCCATTTATTTAACAAGTTGTACATAGAAACAATTCAACAATTAACATTCGTTCAGTGCGACCGTCCGATACGATTAAAAATTTCAGTGCTGACGTTTTATGTCATGTAACCGTTGTAACGCTAAAATTTGCTGCAAATGTTTTACGACTAGTAATAAATTAATCAGGTTCACTGTTGCAGCGCACGCTAGCAGTTCTTTTTATGGATGCACAAAATCACCACGCATAATACGTTACAACGAGATATTTGTTGAGAAAATAAGACTGCAAAATATACACGTTATTAAAAATATATATGATTCGCAAAGTTATCGAGATGATAATTATTTCATGAAAAGCAGGTATTAGGCTCGGTTTATTTATCTGCAATAAAAAGCGATGCATATTATAATGCGTGGAAATTGTTATTTATGACGTATATAAATTATCTCTGTAGTACCATTGTAAAACGACTATTTTTTAAATTAACTATTTTAAAATTAACTATTTTAAAGTTCTGTTATAATTTGACCGTATTCGTATATTATAAGCTAATGTAGGATACGCGTTATTGTGTGAATTTTGTATTTTAATTTGAAGTCTAATGGATGAGAATCCCTTTTTAAAAAAGAGATATTACCAGCGCGAATGTCGTTAATATCAAACAGTTGAGGCCTCTTTTCCGCGATGCCGATTGATCTTCTCGCGGTGTGCTTTACTTCTCTTTTAGATTCGTAGTAACTGAAGATTTGCAATTTAGAAATATACATTTGTATACACCAACTATTGAGGTAAAATCTCTAATCTTAGTAATTAGAATTTAAGTAACAACGATTTTCGTTTCGAAACATTTCCTCGATTGATCAGAATTAATCGCTAATTTCATTAATACCAATAAGTCCGCAGAATGATACGCAAAACGTAGTAACAGTCACTGAACAAAGTAATTAGAAATATTAGGTATAGAATTTTCAACTTCGTAGGCGGGACAACGAATTCTCAACGTTTTTTGTTGTTTTTCTCTCGGCGCGGTGACGTACGATGTTTTTGCGTGCCATCGTGTACTTGAAAATATTTTACTGGATTTGAAGAGTTTAAATAGTTTCGCGTACGAGAAATGAAAAGATAAAATTACCTGCACTGTAAAATTTTATATTATCTAAGCTGGGGATCAATAAATGCGCGATGATATTGTGATAAACTTTAATCACTTTATAACTTAAAAACTTGTGGCTTCAATATTATCAATCAAGGCCTTTCAGTGGAATTAATCTTCGGAATATGTTGTTAAAATATTAAATAATAACGACTCTATGAATATTGTTTAATAATTTTTTTGTATCACTTATAAAATAATAATCAATGAATAAAAGGGCTAAAAGCCTTGACTAGGTGTTTGTGTCACAATAGTAAAAGTTTAGTTTATTTAAAACATAAAAATTACATTTAATTTTATATTCTAACAAGTTCTTGCATCTCACTACTTCCTCTTTTGTTTTTACAAATCCGAAAACGGCATACCTTTTATATTTGTTCTTATGTATTGCGTTGCGAGCGAATTTTACCTTTTGATTGTTATATTAAAATTTTTTCTTTTATTTTTTTTTCTTTTTATACACTGAGGATGGTCTAAAGAAAGACTGAAACGTTAAAAAAATGTTAATTTTTATGTTTTAAATAAACTAAACTTTTACTATTGTAACACTAACACCTAGTCAAGGCTTTTATCCCTTTTATTCATTGATTTTTATTTGTCAGAGCCGTATTCTCTTATAAAATAATGTTTGCAATAATTCCAAAAAATTATACGTGGAAAGATCGCAATGACAATACGGACAATACGGACAATACAATAATACGGACAATAATAGTAGGAGTAGAGTAGAATAATTATGACAATTCGTAACAATTTGCTTTGATGTTTAAAACTAACAATTTAATTCGTTAAAGATATTATACGTATATATAATAATAATAATAATATCGTATTCACGAGTAATGTTCAAAAGTACTACAAATCATGTAACATGTAATTGTGAAAACAACTGCAGGTGAATAGCAGTGATTTTGTTTTAGTAATGTTAACGTGAAATATTCACAATGACATATTTCCCAGCAATTTCGTGAGATGGTCAAAATAGCGACATATTGCGAAATGTTTTACATAAAACGCGATTGAATGGGGACAGCCTGGGAGCAAGAAAGATTTAATAAAAAAGTGCATTACATTGAACGCAGTAAAATTTCATGGCGCTTTTATTTCCAGCGAGCTCATCTTTCGGGCAGGCATCACGAATGAAAATAAAGCGCATTCAATTTGTATGCGGACTTTTCAATTTGCACATATGCATACCTAATGCGTATATTTCACACTTAATTTTAGTTTAACGAAAGTGCTTGCTAAGTGGGTCCCGTGTAAAGCCGGCCGGTCGCACAGCAATACGTAGCGAAAATATTTCTGTGTTATCGCTCTGTGAATGAAAACGTTTTAATCAACCGAGTTTTATTTCTGATTTTCAATTTTAATAAAAGAATTTTAAACACTCCCTTTGCAATCAACATGTTTTTGCCGTTTAGTACATAAATGCGAAGCCGCGTATTTTATGAGTGCACAAACATATAAATTTAAAATTCTACAGGTATTACCTTTTTTTCTCTGTAATGTAATTAACAAATCGGAGTTGCTATTAATCCGCGTGTGAAATTTAATAAAGCAGATATAATCAAATGAAAACAGCGACTGCTTTGCGCAGAATGACTCAGTCTCGCTAGGCCAAATATTTTCCTCGTAGTATAAAACCGTGCATAAACTTCTCATATATTTTAGAGTGCAGGTTAAATAATTTATATCGATCTGATATTCAAAACTGCGAAAACAACCTTACATTTTTTTAACAACCTCTTACATGTTTACCACGTTAAAA